GGGGGTGGGAAGAGGGACACGCGTGGGGTTTGTTATGGCGCGCGTGGTAGAGAAAAAAGCCGCTATAACTTCTCGCCAGAAAAACATCACTAACCAGGGCTGCTAACCAAAAACGAGGCAGACGATTAACATTATAGCTGGCGTAGACTCTTTCTACAAACGAGTAAGCAAAACCCAGATTAATAATTATTAACTAGAGACATGTGTTACATTCAAGTTTGAGTTCGGTATTCTGTCTAGATTTGCATGATTTGTTGATTGTACCGATAATTTGAATTTACGGTTATCACATTTGAGTTCAACAACATCATCACTTGAACTGTAACCCTATAATGAATTTACCTTGCCGTTCACACTAGCCGTGTCAGCATGGATCCAAGAATGTTGAGAAGACCAACATCAAGTCATATCAAAGCATCATAACCCAAGCACTTTACCTTACCTTGGAACAGAACTACAATGATTCATGATTATACCCTAGCACCATCCGTCAGATCTACAATTACTCAAACTCTCAGACTTTTGTTATTCTATCTACATGTCGTCGGTCCCAATAATCTGCGACCACGTCTTACCTTCCTTTTGCAATTCCACCACCAATTCGTCTCTGATCTTCAGCGGCAAACCAGGACCTTTATAGGCGAAGGCAGTGTACAATTCAACAAAAGTGGCCCCGGCCTTACCAAACTCTAACGCGTCCTTACCCAGCGAAATACCACCACAGCCAACAAGCACCAAGTTAGAGTCCTTAGTGTACTTGCGCAATAACCTCAACGCCTGGAGAGACAACGGCTTCAACGGCTTACCCGAGAGACCACCAGTTTCGTTGATCAATTGCTTGTCGGTAGTCGCCATCGTCGCCGCCGGTCTTTGCACGGTAGTGTTGGAAATGATGATCCCGTCAACCTTAGCCAGCTTCGCCAGGTTAGCAATCAGTTCAATTTCCGGTTCAGTCAAGTCAGGAGCCACTTTCACCAATACAGGGGGCACCAGCCCCAACAAATTAGCACCACACTTGTCTCTTTGTTCTCTGACGGTAGTCAACAATTTCGTCAATTTTTCTTCCAGTTGCAAGTCTCTGAGCCCCGGAGTGTTAGGGGACAGCACGTTAATCACCAAAACATCGGCGTAGTCCTTCATTCTTTGCACACCTTTCAAGTAATCTTCAATTTCGTCACCGGTCTTATTTTTACCCAAATTGATCCCCAAAAGTCTACCGTCACGGAACGCGTTAGTCGTAGGTTGTTGGCCATTATTATCCACCTTATAAGCTTGCATCAACGCCGTGAATCTCATTTTCAACCGGGCCAACACGGAAAAATGACCCGTCAGATTGAAACCATACCGGTTGATGACGGCGTCATCGCGAGGCAAACGGAAGAACCGAGGTTGAGGGTTACCCGGTTGCGGCTCGGGAGTGATCAGACCGATTTCCACATAGGAAAACCCACAATCAAACAAACCATCGATGGCCTCACCATCCTTATCCAAACCCGCGGCTAACCCAATCGGCAGTTTGAGGAACTTACCAAAAACATTAACCCCGAGTAACTGGTCATATTCAGGGTGTAAATGTTCGTCCATCACTCGCGGGTGGAGCCCCATCAGCAATAAACGGATGCCCAAGCGATGGCCTTCTTCGGCATCGGTTAAGCCACGAATTAACGGACAAAACACGTACTCGTGGATCCCCAGACGCGCGTCCATCACGTAGTAGCCGCCAAACACCCCGGCAACCGCGGCCCCGGCGATGGCTAACGGACGAGTGATGCGAGACATTTGGTGGTTGAGCGTAATTTGGTCAAAGCCAATTTGCGCGCGAATCTTACAGTCCGGGGAAGCCCCCGGTATCGGACTTCTGAACGTGATAAATCACAGATTGGTCTGAAAATTTGATAAATTACTTGGGAAATTTGTGTTTAGTGTAATTGGTTGACTTAAATTTTGTAAATTACTTTTTTCAGTTCATTTCAGTGTGAATTCCATTGATATTAAAGACTGATATTGAGCCATCTACCAAATTGGATAGTGTTAATAATTAAAATGACTAAATGAAATCACAATAAGAACCCACTGTTGTCTTCATTGGATAAGTATTCGTTTGGTGACAATCGTCTACAGGGGCAACTCTCATAAACAATTCATCACACTAAGTCGACAACAAGCACAAGCGTCACTGCAACGAGTCGTCAGTTTCCCTCTTCGTCGGGGTTCATTGGGAAGACACCATATACAGCCAACGCCCTCACCACAAGCAGCCGAGCTTTCTCCCCGATCACGATGGGGATGTCGATCCCGGTGTCGTGCAAATAGCTTTCTCCCAAAAAATCAAGGCATGAGCATAGGTATTGCTCATACTCAGCCAACGCTTCATCAATTTCTTTCACCTGTTTGTCACTGAGGCTCGGGAGGTGGTGGCAGAGGTCACAGAACAGTTGCACCCAAATCTTACGCCGGGCTTTGCTTGATTCAACGACTTCCTCAAACGCTCGAAGCTTCTCCTCCACCCCCGTCATGCCGGCAATGGCGTTAAACACGTCGCTGGAAATTTGGCATCTTTGCTGCATCAAGAAGCAACCCCAACGAAACTTTTGCCGGTCGTCATTTCCAAACCGCGGCGACTTGTCAATGGACAGCAACAACAGCAGTGTATTATTGACGGGTTCCTCGGAAGGAGGCTCCTTGAGGAGTGGCGGCTCGCAGCCAAGCATTCTTTGGGCGGCCCGCTGTAAGTGCTGGCGTTCATCGTCAGTGGCAAGCAGTGCCATCTCGTACTGAAACACGGGCGAGCAAACGGCAATCTGGTAGAGCAAGTAGGGGTCAGGACCCGTGGAGGTTCGAGGTTCTAGCTGAGAGGATTGTTCCGAGTCCGGCATGGCCAGTGATTAGCAGGGCAATAGGGAGAGACCAATGGAGTTTAAATAGTGAATTTTAAACTTTATCAGCCACCCCCCCTGTTTGTAGCACTTGGATGTCGTTAGCATAAGTAGTGGAGGAAGGTTTAGATACTGGAGATACCGAAATGGAGGGACACCAGTTGAAGACGGGACACCAGCTGGAGACGCCCCGCTTATTGACGTCAACCAGATAATCAATAAGGAAGATTTTCAAACATTAAGTATAATCAGCGTATTAGCTTCCATGTCTTTCAAATTCGGCTTCAATTGGCTTCAAATCGGCGGCAAATTCATCATCTTTAGCGACTATGTTTGGTTCTGATGGCACAATCTGGGGTGAGATCGTGTGCGACCCAAAAGGGGAAAAAGGTCGTGTGCATATTGAAATCGCCTTCTACTTTGATCACTCTAAATTCATAACATTATCTATATCGTGCCGCACACCGCTAGTGCTGGACTTGTGTTGGTATTTGTGGTCGTCAATATTTACGGTGAAGCCAGTTCACCAGCTTAATGGATAAACCCCACTGATTAGTACATGACTCTTCTCTTCTTTTGAGTAGCCCCACCGCCGTAGGCAGCCAACAACGAGTTGTAGACGTCGCCACCAGCAGCGCCGGCAGTGGCGCCGGCACCAGCAGCGGCAGTAACACCGGCAGCACCGGCGTCGACAGTGCCGGCAGCACCAACGTTACCGGCAGCAGTCGCACCCGCGGCACCGGCATCGGCGGCGCCGGCAGCGCCGGCAGTGCCGGCAGGAGCCACGGTCAGCGTGCGGGTAGTGGGGACACCAGCGGCACCAGCGGCACCAGTGGCAGCGGTAGCAGCAGCGCTGGCAGCCAGGCTAACGGCGGGGGCGGCGGCACCGGCGGCCGAGGTCGCGGCGGAAGCGACGGAAGCAGCGCCGGCATTGCCGCTAGTGGCAGCGGAAGCAGCACCGCCAATACCACCAAGCAAGTCACTGAGGATGTTACCCGACGAACCAGTGGTGGTGGCGGCAGCAGCGCCGCCAGTGGCCGAGGCCTTAGCGGATGCCTTAGCCAGAGCCAGAGCGGCGGCGGTCAGCAAGTCAGCCACCGCTTGCGACGCTTGAGGGTTCAGCAGCGTCCCGAAGATGCCGCCGAGGAGCTTGACGAGGAAGTCAACGATGCCGCCGGAGTTCTCGCCGACCCACTTCATGAGCTTGTCCCAGATACCCAGAGATTGCAACCAGTTGAACAAAGTACCGCCGATCTGGGCCAAGAAGTTGATGGCGTTGGTCAAGAAGTTTTCGAACGCCTGGGGGTTTTGCGACACCCAGTTGGTGATCCAGTTGAAAATGGACGAAATGATGTCACCGAGGTCTCTTTGGATCATTTCCGCCCGCTTTTGTTGTTGTTGAGGGGTGGACGACGACGACGAGCCGGTGAAGTAGCCCAAGATGGCCGAGAAAGCTTCCTTGATCAAGTTGACGAGGGCCTGTTGCAACCCTTTGTCGTTGACAAGCTTATTGAAGATCTTTTGGAGCAATCCCGAGTTCCAGATCGCCAGCAACAAGTTGGGCAACGCCGCGAACAAACCGGAGATGGCCAGCTTGACGAGCGAAACAATTTGGTCTCTAAGATTTTGGTCGGTGGTGAGGGTATTCCAGATGTCACCAAGGATTCCCAGGTTGAGGAAAGCAGAAATGACCCCGGAAATGGCCAGACCAAGGTCTCTGGTGGCCAACTGGATCTCTTCGGGAGTCAACTCACGCTTGTGGGTGGTGGCTTCGTTCAAGACGGCGTTCAAGTTCTGCAAGGCACCGATCAACTGGTCCTGGTTGAAGGCAACGGGGGCGGCGTTGGCTTGAGCCGCGGGGATCGCAGAGCCGTTGGCGACGGCAGCGGTGGCCAAGGCGAGAAGGGTGGCTTGGGAGAACTTCATTGCTGATTGCTGATCGATATTCAGGGGGAGCTCGAGGCAATTATATAGGTTTTGGCGGGGGCAGAGACCAGGTTTTGCAACCATTTCCCAAATAGGTAATGTGTGGCCTCCACTGACGTCAACGAAGAATGCGGGTTTTCTCGAGGTAACACCGAAGAAAATGCCGCCATTGTTGGCCCGGAAAAAATTGGTGAAACGGCGTCGTAACTGCGACAGTGGCCCTATCGTCCGGAACATTTCGTGATTGTGGCGGCTGCCCCTGAGAGTGTCTGCCTCGTGTAAACGGCTTGAAATGTTGACGGGGAGCGAGAGATTCTCACCTGCATCGTCCTGCATATAATCACATGCACGTCTTCCGACCTCTTATACGTATCGGGTAAAGAACCCCCAGCGCCCTCCTGATGAGCCTCGATTGAGGTAGGGGTTGCCATCCCTGGTGCCTAGATTGAATTACTACACAGCCTCCATCGGACTTCCCCCCCGGTTTGCCGATTGACACCAAGATCGGTGCTTAGCCTAGGCGTAGTAGCCACAAAACAGAAAATTGCACAATAGATTAGAAGCGATAATGGTTACAGAAACACGGTGTTTTGACGAAACGCTCGTCTCGTGTGTTATCTCCATTGTCGCCATAATTACGGTGTTTTTGATTGTTTCCGTTTCTTCCTTACGAAGATTTTAGGGAATTCGTCACAACCTTAACTTCGGCAAAACACCACCATAATTTCACCGCTTTCGTGGGTGTATTGCCGTGGTGGGGTTTTGCTACGACGCATGGAGGCTTCGGAAATCGGAAATAAGCCTCGTGAAGCAAATATCCATCGGCAGCCAGGCTTTTGTGGCGCCACGCACGGTGTCACCGCGTCTTTGCTCGTTTAGGCAAAGATCACGCCAGGGGGCGGTGCCCGAAGGTGCACGATACAGAGTATGGCTTTGGTAGTGGTTGTCACGAGGTGTTTACCCTTTCAATTGTGGCAGAGCCAGCATGTGGTTACCGAGTTCCGGGTTACCAAGTAGTGCGTTTGAGGGTGGCCTTAAGGTGCAAGCGGGTTATTACTCAGTCAGGCTAATTACTCGATAAGGTCGAGAAAAAGGATGGGGACGGATTATTGCGAGAGGGTAGTAGTAACTAACAAAAACACTAACGGTTTGGGTATTGTGCCAAAATTGGAAGCAGTCGTAGTTTGCTTCCTTTTGTTCGTGTTTTTTCGCTAGATTGGAGAATTTTCGAGGAAGGGTGATAACGAACAGTGTAAACTTTTACACAAATTTGAGTTGGTTGGGTTTGGAAAGGAAATGATGATGACCGCTAATGGCATGGAGGATTAGCGATGGAGTCAGAATTACGAAACAGAATTACGATGATTGAGAGGGAACTACGATCTACACCTGCCAGTTTTCCGTATCGTCAACAAAATTTGGATACGTTCCACGTTTCAGTGGGTAACACTTGCCAGTCGTCATGTTGTGCCACAAATTCAACATCTCTATAAGGTCTTGAAGGCTTCCTGTTAGCCCATAGATGGGAATGAAGGGAGTTGGTCATGTCTTTCGTAGCATAGCTGGTGGCAATAAGGATTGGAGATGGGCTTATATCCTCATTAGACGATTGGACAAATAGCGATACCAGTACACTCAAAGAACTGACGCTGTGGCGAAGATGTGATATATCACCGTCAACGGTGCGGCAATAAAAAACCCTTGATGCACATAGATGGGTCCTGCATGTAGTCAAAGATAACCCAAAAAGCAAAACATCACCAAAAATGGTCCCAGCGCGAAAATAATGAAGTCAATGGTAGCCGCGTTTCCTACGATGCCAACGAGCCCTCACTCTTGAAGTTGGCCCCTCTGATGGTGACGCTACACCCCCTTTTAGGCGTCAATTTCAAAAAAAAAACTATTTCAAAAGTGTGACCCAAAACGCACACTTCATCGTCGATTTGTCCACGACCCAGCCAAGTTGGACCATAGGTGTGCTAACAAATGTTACTCACAAAAGTGCAAAGATTAACATATATCGGCGGCAGCAAATGGCGTTCGAAAAAGTATGCCAGTTTTCGAAAATCAAAAATTTGAAACGCCACTTTTTTTTTCTTCTAGCAAAATCCCGATTTTTGGAATTGCTAATATTGATCTTTTGGGGGTCGAGCCTGACTAAACTGGCCACGGCGATCACAATGAAGGTAGTCTCATCACTGTCCGATGTAAACTCGTGGCGCAATGGGATCCGTGAAATCTTGCCACGTTCACCGTGTACTCATTGGCCTGCATATAATGGAGCACTTGACAGGACCTCCATCAGGTCCATACTTGACGATTCAAACCACTCTTTTAGCAACAACATTATATTGTAATTCCTCAACCGTTTGATATGTTCTACCAGAGTATTTACAGTTGATTAATTGACCGTTGAGCGTGATGAATGCGCCATTTGATTTAGACTGAACTATAAGGAACCAGCCATACACTGGCTACGAAAAATGCTGTTGCGGTTTAAGCTAACCATGAAGAGCCAACTTTCTCTCATAAATATGAAAAGATTCAATCACGACTAGCAACAGTTTAAGTAGCCGATTCGATTGAGTACCCCGATTTTATTCAATCGCAATCAGCGGAGGGCAAACATTGGTTCAATAGATGTCATAAACTATGACACACCATTACCCATCAGTCAATTTTACTATTGCAATTTTCCAGTACACGATTTTGTCGCGCGCCAAGGGGTGCGACAAATTCCCCATTGCTGATTGGCTCTTGTGTACCCCCCCACTGCGCGCACACATTCGCACCAACCATCCACCCACAAATCTTTTCCAACTGTCTACCCTTCACCAAACGATGTTGTCGAGAGCTCTCACCAGACCCGGGCTCGGCTTGCGTTTCCCGCAGGCGTTCCGGACTCTCGCCACCACCCCGAAATTGCACAAGCCGGCGTTGGCCTACAACACCGCCGGGGGTTCGGCGATGGCGGCCCCTCCCCAGGACTTCCGGGTGCCCAAGCCCAAGACGTGGGAAGAGCTGAACGAGCTGTTCCTTTCCAAAGCGACCAAGTTCTTCTTCTTACAGGAGATCGTGCGGGGTATGTACATCGTGTTGGAGATGTATTTCCGCGAGCCTTACACCATCTACTACCCGTTTGAAAAGGGGCCGATTTCCCCGAGATTCCGGGGCGAACACGCGTTGAGACGCTACCCGCTGGGCGAGGAACGGTGCATCGCCTGTAAGCTCTGCGAGGCGATCTGCCCGGCGCAGGCCATCACGATCGAGGCCGAGGAACGGTTGGACGGGCTGAGAAGAACCTACAAGTACGACATCGACATGACCAAGTGCATCTACTGCGGGTACTGCCAGGAACTGTGCCCCGTCGACGCCATTGTCGAAACCCCCAACGTCGAGTACTCGACGGCGACGAGAGAGGAGTTGTTGTACAATAAGGAGAAGTTGTTGGAAAACGGCGACAAGTGGGAACAGGAATTGCAGTACTGCATCGAGGCCGACGCCCCCTACCGATAGCATAACAGGCGACTAACAGGCTACTACCATCTCGGCCTTGATCAGAGAAGTAATTGACTTTTAAGCCTTATCTAGAGAAAATTATAAAAAATTTGAATTAAACCCACGCCCGTAATCGACGATGATGTTCGTTATACTGATTTTATTTCGTTTTAGTCTCAGTGTTGGTTTGATTGTAGTTCAAGGAGATCTGTCACTGGCGACGAAAACTGAGGTTACTATGATCAAATTGAAATCAAAGTCAATTTTTTATATTGGTCAATTCTATATAAAATTGACTAGTGGTTGTTTCCCTTCGTTTCACTTGAAAGTGACTCTCCACAGAGATAGTTACTAGCCATTAGGTAAACTCTCTGCCATCTCAAAAACTCGACCAAATCTATCAATTATCCTATTGAAATGATGATTGTTCAATCAGTTAAACTTCAGTAAAATTCTTTCTATATTTGTCATTCCGTTATCTTCATTCTGGTGGCTCGTATTAGCATACCCCGCGAATTGCCGTGCCGTGCCATATATTCTCCACTCGCAAACCACTCCCATCAATTGCTTACACCCCAGCGATGCTTTCCTCCGAACAAGTGAAGCAGTTTAACGACGAAGGGATGCTTTGCATTCCGGACTTCCTTTCCCCCGACCAAATCGCCCAGCTCCTGGCGAGAGCACACACATTGTTGGACGACTTTGACCCGCTGGCCCACCCAAAAACGCTATTTTCCACGTCAACGGATAACCATGTGGGCAACCAATACTTTCTTGACTCCCTGGATAAGGTGAGTTTCTTCTTTGACACCGATGCCGTCGATAGCGACGGAAATTTGGTGTACCCAAAACAAGTGGCCATCAATAAGATCGGCCACGGGCTCCATCTCCACGAACCGGCATTTGAGAAAGTTACCTTTGACGATAAGGTACAAGGGATTGCCAAATCTCTCCAATACGAGGACCCCCGAGTGCTTCAGAGTATGCTTATCTTTAAGCACCCAGCGCAGGCGAAAAAGATCAGAGACAACGAAGTACCGCCTCACCAGGACGGTACTTTCCTCTATACCGACCCACCCCTGGCTCTAGGCTTTTGGTTTGCTTTGGAAGATGTTACTAAGGATAATGGCTGCTTATACTATGCTCCTGGCTCTCATAAGAAGTTCCCCATTATCTCGCGATTTGTCCGTACGCCAAAGGCTCCAGGCACCGAGATGATGGGGCTCGCAGACGTCCACGACCCTGAGCCGCGAGACTCTCTAAAATACGTCCCCATGGAGTGTAAGGCCGGCTCCCTCATCTTGATCCATAACCAAGTGCTCCACAAACTGGAGAAGAACGAGAGCGATAAGCTGAGATTTGCCTATGCCTTCCACTTGATTGAAGGCACGGCTGACTACGACGAATTCAACTGGCTCCAGGTACCGTCGCTGGGAGGCACCAACTTCTCTAAATTGTTTAAGGACTGAAAAAAAAGTCTATTCTAAGATGACGTTGTCGATGAGACGAGCAGTGCCGGTACCCTGGGCCCGAGGCACGTGTACGGCAGTGGAAACAATGGCTCCGGGGACCACTTTATCGGTTAAATCGTCTAATGTCTCCGGGTGAGAACAGGCGACATACTCGACCTGTAATCCCAGATCAACCAATTGCTTTTGCACTAAATCAACAATATCAGTTCCCTTAACTGTAGCATCGTCAACCCACAATTGTTTACCCTGGGAAAGAGCCTGGTAAATCGCCTTCAGCTCGTCCTTAGTAGTATCGCTCAAATAGGCATTTCTCAGCGACAACGCAAGCCCCAGCGGCTCTCTCTGGGTCGGTAACACTTTCACTTCCGTGTCTATAAGCAAATCTTTCACCATATTGCGGACAACCACGCATTGTTGGGCATCTTTCTGACCAAAATAGACTCTGGTGGGTTGGACGACATTGAGCAATTTACAGACGACGGTGGCCACTCCGCGAAAGAACTGGGGTCTAGTAACCCCCTCCAACTGGTGGGAACAGCCTTTGACCTCGACAAACGCCCCTCTTTGCTCATTGACATCAAGGACAATGCCACTCGGGTACATCTCCGATACTTTAGGAACGAACACCGCTTCGACATTAGCCGCTTCCAATTGCGCTAAATCATCGTCTAAAGTCCTCGGATAAGCGTCCAAGTCCTCGGTGGGGCCAAACTGAGACGGGTTGACGAAGATCAGCACCACGGTGGCGTCGTTATCGGCCTGGGACTGGTGGACGAGCGAGAGGTGACCGTGGTGTAATGCCCCCATGGTGGGGACGAAACCGACCAGCTTTTGTGCCTGGCAAAGCGCCAGGCGCCACTGGCGGACCTGCTTCACCGTACGGAGGACGATGGGCATCGCGTGAATGAGTGCGGACCACTACGAGTTAGGACATAGACTAGCAAGGGGACGGGTTTCCACTGGTTTCAGTTTAGTGTGGTTTCAGTCTGATTAGTTTTAGCTTCTATTAAAAGTATTTATCTCATTGATTTACTTGATGTTTGGTGAGACCTCCATAGATTGATCATTTTGATAATGTGGGGTAACTAGCGATAACCGAAAGATAACAACACCACCATGAAAGAGATCAATGACAATGGAAGCAGTAACAGTCCAAATGACTAATTACTTTATAAAAGGCTCCAGTTATCAATTAGAAGTGTACCACAATGAGAGTAGTCGTTGAAAGGTATGAATGAAATAAATCACCGAAATCTGATGAGATTGAAATAGACCATTGTAGACGTCACCCACATCACATCCAAACAATTACTCAAGAATTTTTACTGTATAGCCTTAGATTTCGTCTGATATTGGTAGTTGTCTTTGTGCTCAGTCCACGGCATTCACCGGAACCAGTATTCCGATAAATTCAAAGTGTTCATTGCCTGGCTCAAATTTCACCTCGATGACGTGCGAATTCGCTTCTTTTACAAGATTCACTTTTCGGGGTTTAGGCTGCCTAATCTATCCCTGGAGAAAACCGTTGTGCCCCTCCTATAAATTTTTCGGGCCGAGGATGCGTTCCCCACAAATGTGGACCTCGGGACCCGCACATGTTATAACTCGCCAACCCTCCTTTATCTTCAATTAACAGGACTGAATTAAAGAGTCTCACCCTATTCAAACCTTCTGAAACCGGCTTAATTACACTTTGATTTGCTTAATTGATGTCGTATACTATCGAAAAGAAGACGTGTGCTGCTTACGGGCCCCGGGCGCCCCGGCTGACGATTTTGCCCCTGGACCGGCTTGTCCAGGTCTACAACAAGTACAAATCGACCGTCCCCCCCCAGCCAGGCCAGGTTCAGCTCCTGTTTGTGTTTTCCCACGGCACGGGGATGAATAAGCTGGTGTGGCACTACCACATCGACCAGCTCTTCCAGAAGTCCCAGCGGCCTAATCTGGGCTACTACATCGACGTGTGTGTCTCGGTTGACGCTGTGTCTCATGGCGATTCCGCTTTGGCCAACGAGGGTAAGATTGGCCCCGTCTACTGGTGGGACGAGCTGGGGCGCGACTTATTGGCGGTGATACGCCATGAGAATGAGGTGGGGGACTTAGTCAGTGCTCCCGACCGGAGAATCATTACCGTGGGCCACTCGTTGGGTGGTAACGCGGCGTTTATGGCTGGTTTCTTTGACCCCAATGTCGTCGACTGTGCCGTCACCGTCGACGCCGTATTGTATACGGAACCGCTGATGCGGCCTCGCTTCACCAAGATCTTTAAAAAGATCGCCGGTTTACTCATTGACCGCTTCGACACCGAGGATGAAGTGAAATTGTTCTACGATATGCTGTTTTACAACACGATGGATAAGCGCGTTTTGAACGACTTTGTCGCCGACGAAATCGTTACCGTGGTTGATGATGACGAGGAAGTGAGCTACCGGACGAAGGCGTCGAAGTTCGCTCAGATGGCGACTTATTTGGGACTGGCTTATTCGTTAAATTTGACGATGCACGCTATTCAATCGTACCGTACTTCAGTGTGTCACGTTACCGGTAACCAAGCCACGTGGAACCCGCCTCAGCTGAAGCCGTGGGTCAGATCTAACCTCCCCGAGGGGAAGCTTGTGAAAACCGCCGATATCGATGGCACACATTTGGTACACGGTGATAACCCTGACGGAATGGTCCAAGTGTTAGTGGAACTTGCTCAAGATAGAACTAAAGTGGCGCAAACGAATATCGACCAGCTTAAGCTGCAAGGTAGTGACAGAGCTAAACTCTTGGAAGTGTCCGAAGAGAAGTTATATGCTGCTGATCTCGTCGAAGTCGCCGCCGCCACCGCCAAGCTCTAGGATTATATGAATGATAACGTTTAAAAACAGATAAGTCGTCTCTTCATTGATTCGAACTGAGTGTGTAGCGAAGGAGGCATTCTTTGTAATTGAGAACGCAAGCAAGTCAGATGTCATTTGGTGGGTTATTCGATATTGATTCATGAATTCATTTGTGTAATTCTCTCTATCAATGCCGTCTAAACTGGTGGAATTAAGGATACGGTTTGAGAAGAATGGCTCAAACTATAGTTACCATTGATGACTATCTACTTGTATTGATTTACAGTTCACTGATGAGAAATTGATTGAAAATGGGCTCAATTTAGGAACCTAATTAGTGATGATGACTTTTAGATGATTATCAATCGTCGAAATGTGCAGTCTCTTTTCACAGTCTCTTGATAATCACGAGGGACCGCTTTAATTGAGACAGCCCGACTTCGAGCTCATTAACCGTCATCGGCGATATCAGTTTAAAATAGCGAACAAACTCAGCCACACTACCACCAACACCAAAATAGATATTCTTCGCCGCCACTACCGCCACTGCAGGTTGCCATTTACCAATCATTTCCGCCACTAAAGGTAAAGTCTCTTCATGGTAGATGGTTTCCAGCGTTAACACAACGTCCACTTCAGGGACTATCTCCATGAATTGACTCCCCCACGACCCACTAATAAGCTCAATATTCACCTGGTTTTGATTAAGAGCAGTGAGAAACTGATCAAGCAATTCTTTAGTAAGGATAACCTCTGCCCTTTCAAGCTGAGGATCAGTGGTCATGTACCAGTTTATGATCAAATTGGGGACGGTGACAAGTTCAAGCACATCGTAGTTGAAATCGGAAAGGTAGACGGTGTGGCTCAGCTCCAGTTTGAGGAGGTGAGGTAATAAGAAAGCACTGGGTAGCGCCGTGCCACAGCCTAAATCAACAAGCTTCAGCCACTGGCCCAACCCTTGGCTCAGAATATAGTCAATGACATCGTACAGACACTCCCACAGCTTGAACCCGCCCTCATAGACGTTCTTCTCTAAGTCGCCATTCAGTGAGATTAAGAGCTGTCTCACCGGCAGGTCGACATCCTCAGCCATAATCTGGTGTCTGACATCAAATAACTCTCGTCTGAACACCAGATTACCCCCGGCAGTGGTGTATTTCTCAAACGAGACCTTGACGTCTTGGAGCTTAGCGACCACGTCGGCTAGCGAGTGGCACTGAGGCAGATTGTTTGCGTCGACGGGGAAGGCATCAAGCGTCTGGGTAGGGTTCTGGGATGATTGATTGGTTTGGGGAACGGGCAGATCTAGTTGTTCTTCCGTGAAGCCAAACAGGAAACCCATCGTGTTAACCAGTGCGATGCGATGAGCCCGACAAGAAGTTGTCGGTTAATAATCAAGACAAACACTAAATCTAGAAAATTGATAGACAATTGAGCTTAAAATGCTTGCGGAAACACATTAAGCACAAAAGTTTAGTGCAAAACGGCCTCTGAAGGGCAAATCATCTCTACATCAGCTTGCACATCATCGACCTACAACCACATTTCTCGCATCGGGGCGTGTAGCTCAGTTGGTAGAGCGTTCGCTTAGCATGCGAAAGGTCTTGGGTTCGATTCCCAACTCGTCCACTTTTTGCCTCCCACTTCGATGAACTCCTAAGTTAACTGTTAGCTCATACTTCAATTTTCCAATCTCCAGCTTCGTTTTTTTCTTATTTCAGACCCATTTCCTTTTACCATAATTGATCGCATTGGCGCGCGTCATATTCAGGCCCACAAATCACCCAGCCCCGATCTCCGTCCCTCCCTCGACTGATCTCGGTGGAACACCCCTCCAATCGAAGCTTTAAACAGCTAACTACCCTTATATCTATCCCTACAAGACCCGCCAAAGTTCAAGTTTCGTCTTGTACTGATGGATCAGCTGGTGGCCCTGGTGGGGTTCAATAACCTCCGCAAGCTGAACAGCAACCACACGCTGGATATACCGCATCTGCTGAGCTCGACAACAGTGTCCAACCCCTTAGCACGCATGTTCACTCGCAATAAGTCCCAGGATACGCTTCTGATGACGAACCAGTCGTTGCACACTCTGCCCCGAGCCGGGCCCGATTCCGACGACGCTGAGCTGGTGGCTACGGCCAAATCACTGATAAAGTCACTGGCTAAACCGAGACTACGCCTCGGTAAGCTCAAGAAGAAGAAACCGGAGTTGAATGTGCAAACACTGTTTGCTAGTTTCACCACACCCAAAGACGCCATCAGTGCTAGTCCGGTGACGGCGTTCCACAACTTGTTTCACCGGAACCAAGGCCTGCCTGCCCCTCTTACAGGTGATCTGAAGAAGTCTCGTACGCTGGATGATGCTGCCACCCTAGCTTCGGCCCATGCCGCTGCCTCCACTGAAATACCACTGAGGATTATGTTTTCGAGTAATAACTCCAATTCTCAAGTTACCGATGTCGTGGAGGCGATAAAACACAATTTCGTCAATAATAATGATCTCTTGGGTCCCGATGACTCGGTGAAAGCCGCTGCTGATGAGCGAGAACCCCACCACGCGTTGTTTGAATTACACCGGAAACTCATGGTCCCCACTGACCATTACTTACAAAAGTTGAAGAAAGAGACGGGAGATACTGAGACTATGGGTTTGGGCATTTCTACCGTGGGAGAGTATACCAATACCTCGGACTATACTCTGACCAACGCTCAGTTCTTTACCGCTTTAGCCACACTCACCCGACCCGTGTTTGTCCCCCTGAATTATCGCCATTTGGGAAGTGGCGGGACTATCCCCCACGTCACCATGCTGATGGAGGAAGTGCTGGCGGTGATCGTCGACCACTTCTGTGGCCGCCACGAGCGTGCCCTGCCCACACGAGCCCTGCTGCCTTTACAACACCACGATGAGAAGTTGGACCTAAGAGAGAGCTATAAAGTGAGAGCAGTGGCGCAGGATATTGAAACGTTTTGTTATAAGATGCTTGGCCTAGTATTTGTCGATGTCCTGACTCCTGAGATTAACTGGGGCGGCCAATCATTACTGGGTCCCGTCGCCGGCGTGATGGCTGAATGGGGCCGTTTGGCCCTGGCGTGGACGGTGTTTAATAACCGTATCCGTTTCTACTTAGTGGGGATCTTTGCTCAACTATTCCGGGCTTTGAAATTGGCTGGCATTGACCTTGATCTTGATGAATTGGTGGTGAAAGGGTTTAAACACGCGGCGATCGATCCCGTGGTGTATGGACGCCTGAGACTTGAATACGATCGGGAAGTGGAATCAGCGGTATTGAAACAGAACCCCAGGCTATTAACTCAATTGGTCCGGTGTGTAGGAGTATGCTGTCGCGGCGACGATACCGTCCTCCCCTGGCTCATCTCCATATCGAGTTCATAACTACCAAAACTACTACCATCTCAGCAGTCTCAAACGTCAAAAAGCCTATCTTCACAAGTCTGTTTGTCAATCATCGATCTTGTGGTGAATGAATATCGTCAAGGCGACCTGGTTACGTGACCCATCCTCATTTAACTGGATACACTATCAGATATGGTCTACGATTGTTTCAGGAGGGAGTTTAGTCTTGGATATTAGGCTCATGGTCGATATACATATACCTCATGGCCTTGATGTTCGCCGGTATCGGCGATGACGTCATAGACACCTTATCAGGGTGCTTTTTTTCTATGCGTGAAATCGCACACCAACAGTCACGTGCGTACATTGCTCACTGCTTACTCCCGATCTCCACCTCAGTTGCGCCACCAACAACCAACACTCCTTTCCTTCAATATATCTCATACTATCTGATTTGTGGTGATGCCGGAATCAGCGGTGGTTGACTGTCAGCCCCCAGCCAAGCCGGCGCCGGCCTCGGCCAGCGGCAAGGCCAAACACCCCCCCACCCACCCGGACGAGGT